CGAGCCCGATTTCTACCGTATACAAACAGCAAGTATCAAACGTGAACATTAAAGAACTTTGAATTTAAAAGATTTAGGAAATGTCTTTAAATGGGTGGAGATGATAAGAAAATGCTTAACTCAAGATTGAACAGAATAAAGCTGGATGTCAGTTGTTTTTTCTTTCTCTTAATTCTTTTCTTGTTAAAGAATATGTTAATATTTTTCTAATCCCGTAGGATTTGTGCTCTGAAAACCTAAACTTGCAAATAGCCACCCTGAAATTGAAGCTTAAGACCTTATGTGACAACTTGAGTCTCTCCGATTGTAGCATGATATTATCGGATTACAAATGTCCTTAACATTATTCAATTTTAACACTAGAGGTTCATCTATCCATTTCTGAAAGAAATATAACCATTTAAAATAAAAATAAAAAACCATACTAAACGATATTTTTAGCTACAGATAAAGAATTTAAGTCAATCTAATATGGGCAGGTATTCAATTTTAAATAATTGGCTTTGGTCAAGAGAGTGTGTTCAGTAAGCATTGGATGGACTCCATAATCTCATTTTCTCCCATTTGCGTAGTACGAAAGGGCAAAGGTGACTGGATGCAAATACTACTTATAAAAACTTCTAAAATTTGTGTGTGAAACTAGCCATAAAAAAAGATTGCCTCCATTTGCGATCTGTTCTTTTCAAAATATTAGCCTCATTAATTATTTGGAAATAAAACGATTTCGTGTTAGCTGTGCTTGCCTAGTTGATGAAACATTTTATTTGTAAGCAATCTGACTGGAATATGAACTAAATCGATTGTAGACGAGTAGGAGGATATCAACGCCAATATATGCCATAACCATTCAAACCAGGCACATTATTTATCCAGATATTCGAATTTAATTAAAACTAAAACTCCATAACTGAAATAGTTTCTGGATTAAATCCAAAGTGTGGAGTTGAGAAGATGAGAGAAGGGGAAGAAGCAGAGAGAAGAAGAGATGAGCTAAGAGAAAGGGAATTTGATATTAATCATCTGATCTTTTACATAGATAGTGTAGGTATTTATACATCCAGAGTAATTGTAATTAACTAACCTAATTACAACTAACTAGAGAGAGTCGTTATTAGTGAGCTAACTAACTCTAGAATTGGTGGTTAGTAACTAACAACCTAACCTATATGAAATTACTAAATTGTCCTTCTTTACTTATGTTATATCTTTCTCTACACTCCCCCTCAAGCTAGGTACTGAGAACACATTAAGAACACCTAGCTTGGAAGAAAGATATTCATGCTGAGCCTTGTTGAGACCTTTGGTTAACATATCTGCTGGTTGCTCCTTGGTAGATATGTATGTTGTTTTGATAAGTCCTTGTACAATTTTTTCTCTGATGAAACGACAGTCGATCTCGATGTGCTTTGTTCTTTCGTGATAAACAGGATTTGCTGCAATCTGAATTGCAGCTTTGCTGCCACTAAACACTTCAACTGGTAATTTGACCTCAACTTCCACTTCTTTTAACAGACCAATCAACCAAATGAGCTCTGCAACAATTGTTGCAAGGCTTCTATACTCAGCTTCTGTGGAGCTTCTAGAAACAGTAGTTTGTTTCTTGGACTTCCATGATATTAGAGAGTCTTTAAACTTAACTAGGTAACCTGAAACAGACTTTCTTGAAAAAGGACAAGCTGCCCAATCTGCATCACAGTATGCTGAGATAGTATTGTTTAATTTGCTTGAAAGTAGAATACCTTGTCCTGGGCTGTTTTTGATGTATTTAACAACTCTTAGAGCTGCTTCCATGTGAGACTTCTTTGATCTTTGGAGAAATTGACTTAGTGTTTGAACACTAAATGAGATATCTGGCCTGGTCATTGTTAAATACAAGAGTTTGCCTATCAGTCTTTGATAGGAAGTTAGATCTGCCAGTTCTTCATTCATTTGAGCAGTTGACTTGGTTTTCTTTAGATGTTCATCATACTCTGTAGTTGTAAGCTTCATATTTGTGTCAAGAGGTGTTATAGATGGTTTGGCAGCTGCAACTCCTGTTTCAGAAATCAGTTCCAGTGCATACTTCCTCTGGTGCATAAGAATCCCTTGTTCTGATCTTGCAAATTCTATGCCTAGAAAGTACTTCAATTCCCCTAGATCTTTCATTTTGAAAGACTGTTGTAAATGTGCTTTTGTTTCCTCTATTAGTTTTAGAGAGTCACCAGTCACAAGCATATCATCTACATAGATTAATACCATTGTGATACCTTCTGCTGTTTTCTTAAAAAATAAAGACTGATCATGTTGACTTTGCTGAAATTGAGACTTCATTAGTGCTTCGGTCAGTTTAGCATTCCATTGTCTAGGAGCTTGTTTCAAACCATATAGAGATTTCACAAGTCTGCATACCTTATTCTCCCTATGACTTGTGAATCCTTGGGGTAGTTGCATATAGATCTCATCTAGTAAATGTCCCTGTAAGAAAGCATTATATACATCCATTTGATGTATATGCCAGTGTCTTGCAGCAGCTATAGCTAATATAGTTCTTACAGTTTTCATTTTTATGACAGGAGAAAAAGTTTCTTGATAATCTATCCCCTCCTTTTGACTGAAACCTTTGGCTACTAATCTAGCTTTAAATCTTTCTATTTCACCAGAAGCCTTGTACTTAATCTTGTAAATCCACTTGCACCCAATAGGAATTTTACCAGTAGGCAGAGTTACTATGTCCCATGTATGATTATTTTGTAGTGCCTCAATCTCTGCTTTCATTGCATCTATCCATTTAGGGTCCTTTATAGCTTCAGAGTATAGAGTTGGTTCACTTATATTTGAAGCTACTGTCAAGTAAGCTTGATACTTAGGAGTTATATGATCATAGGTTATGAATTTTGATATGGCATAGGGTTCATTCTGTTTAGCAGTTAATGACACAAAATCTTTCATCCATATAGGTAGTTTCTTTCCTCTTCCTGATTTTCTGACATTTATTGGTTGTGAGATTTGATTTCTTTGTTGTGTAGCTGAAGTTTGTTGATTGTTAGTCTGAGTAGATTCTATGTGAGTATTCTCATAATGTTGTGTGCATTCTTGTATCACTTCTGACATGACATTATTTTCTTGTTCATTTGAATACATATTATTTTCTGAAGTTGTAGCTTGTACTGTTGAATCTGTGTTATGTAAAAGTAAGTATGTTACGTTTGGATGGATAAATAAAGATTTATTGTTGTCTTGTTTGTTTCTAAAAGGGAATATGTCTTCTCTAAATTGGACATCTCTGCTTACAAAGAAACTTTTATCTATTAGATCATATAATACATATCCCTTTTGGGTTGTAGCATATCCCATGTGTATAGCAGGTTTTGCTCTAGGCATTGGTTTATCATTTTGATTAACTAATTTTGCATAACACAAACAACCTATAACTTTAAGATGTTGCAATGTAGGTTTTTTATTATACATCCTTTCATATGGACTTTTATTTCCAATGACAGAACTAGGCAGCCAATTAATGATATATACTGCAGCAAGAACACAATAACCCCAGAATTTAATAGGTATATTAGCTTGAAATCTGATAGCTCTAGTAAGTTCTAGTATATGTCTATGCTTTCTCTCAGCTACTCCATTTTGCTGAGGAGTATAAGGACATGTCTTTTGATGAATTACTCCTAAATTCTTACAGAAATTCTCACAAAGTGAGTTAATAAATTCTGTACCATTACCTGTTCTCACTGTTTTAAAGGCAGAATAGCCTAAATGGCACTTATACTTGTGCCACTTTGTCATGCCGGTCCCCAAACTTATCATTTTGCCAATTGAACACTTACACTAGTTCAAATCGTATATTCTAAATCCCTCTGACCTTTGACCGAGCTTATGTGGCATTAACATGGCTGAGGTGGAAAAGTTATGTGTAACATACGCGTGTAAAGAGAGTGATATTAGTGATTTTAATTAAAAATGAATTAAACTAAAATCAGGCACAAAATCGGGCCAAAAATCCCACCTTTCTTCTCGCCCCCAATCCCTCTTTCTCCTCCACACTACTGTAAACAATGGATGAGCCTTCAAAGGCTTGTTTTGGTTATTGTTGCTGTGTTTCACTATTTGAATCTTTATTCGGATTTTGGAGAAGAGATTCAAAGGCTTGTTTGTTGAGAATTTTCAAAATTCCATTGCTGGTCTTGCGAAGAACGAATCTAGTGGTTTGAAACCTAGTACTAAAACTTAGCTGGGTATTGAAATTTAGACTTGAAAATGCGATAAACATTTGTGTTTGAGGATCAAAACCGGAGGGACAAGCAGAGACGCCATTAAAGCTCGCTTGAAGCTTCTGGGTATGTGTGGTTCGATGATTTCAATTTTAAGGCTCTCTATGTTTCGGATTCCCCCTCTTTGGTCCATCTCTATGAGGCATCTCGTCGCCCTTATGGGATTGTGTCTAAAGCCCAATGCCTCGCCCGTGTTTCAGAATGAGGCATCTCGTCATTTACTCATGACTCACCCGTGTTTCAGAATTTCACATTGAATAACAGAGTGAAAAGGCTTGATCTTGGTGGGAAAGCTTTGAGCAATTTCATGAAGGAGTTAGTGAGTTACAGGAGCGTTAATTTGATGGACGAGTATTTTCTTATGGGTGATGTAAAAGAGAAACTCTGCTTTGTGTTGCCAGACTTGCAGATTGCTAGGGTTTTCTAAAAAATCCTATTTTTAAATAGTTTATTTTCCTATGTGGCACTAGTAATGACGTGGCGTCCTACGTGTAGGAGATTGTATTACACGCACTGGTAACATCCTGTCATAAGCGTTTATTATATACGATTTGAACTAGTGTAAGTGTTCAATTGGCAAAATGATAAGTTTGGGGACCGGCATGACAAAGTGGCACAAGTATAAGTGTCATTTAGGCTATTCTGCCCTGTTTTAAATGTAGTTCCAAATTGAGTTTTGACAAAAGTAAAGAACTGTTGTATAATCACACATACATCATATTTCAATTTCAGCAAGAAAATCTATGTCATTCTAGAGAAATCATCTACTACAGTTAGAAAGAACCTATTACCATCCATAGTAGGAATTTTATAAGGACCCCATACATCCATGTGAACTAATTCAAAGCTAGCAGTTGTTTTTATACTACTGATAGGAAAGGGTTGCCTTGTTTGCTTTGCACAAGGACATTTAGTACATAGATCTATTTTAGCAGATATATCTTGTGCATTTGTAGAAAATAGCTTCTTGAGAACAGTAGCAGACACATGTCCAAGTCTTCTATGCCAGAGTTCAATATCATTTGAATTAGTCTCTTTACTGATTTCTGTCTCCTTAGTGTTTAAACTAATTGCATTATTTCCTGGTAATTTTTGTCTACTGAGAATGTATAGACCACTGTCTTCTTTACCAATCGCTTTCACCCTCCCACTGAAGAGTTCCTGAAATATACAAAAATCAAGGAAGAAAGCAACTGAGCATTTCAGTTCATTAGTTAATTTAGAGACAGACAAGAGGTTATATTTGAATTGAGGGATGTAAAATACATTAGTTATTATATCTTGATCTGTTAAGGTACTAGTTCCAATATGAGTAACTCGAGTAGTTTCTCCATTAGGTAAATGTACTTTCTTTGACTGATTTGTTTGCATTAGAGAGACTTTATTTAACAGTTCTATATCAGCTACCATGCGATTTGTAGTGTCTGTGATCCATTCTTGTAGGCTTTTAGAGGCTAATAAGGCACAAGGAATACCTGCAGCATTAGCTAATGGTGTTGCTGTAGTAGAAGCAGCATTAGCTGATGGTGTTGGAGCATTTGAATTGTCTTTGTTCAGCAGTTGCACAATATGGTCATACTGCTCTGTTGTGAATGTGCAATATCCCATCCAAGGTGTATTTGCCATTTGACCAAAATTCTGAGAATTATTAGCACTCACAACACTGCTTGTTAATTGAGAATTTTGTAAACAATTCTCATTCAAATTTCCTCTAGAAAATTGATTACCCTGTACACTGACATTAGATAGCACATTATATGCACTGTAAGTATTTGTGTTCTTCTTTCTTGGTCTATATTCTGGAGGATAGCCTATAACCTTATAGCAATTTTCTTTAGAATGCCCTTTCATTTTGCACACATCACAGAATAGATTGAAATTTTTTCGAGTTTTCTGATAATTCCACCCAGCTTTAGTATACATTGCCATATCAAATTGACTAGTTCCAGATGTAGGATTTGCTCCTAGTAGGCCAGCATTTGCTGCAACTGGTTTCTGGCTCTCATCACTAATCACCATGGCATATGCTTGATTAACCGTTGGCATTGGGCTCATGAGCAAGATTTGACTTCTAGCCTGGCTGTAGGAATCATTTAGCCCCATCAAGAACTGAAACCGCTTTAATTTTTGCAAGTGAACAACAAACTCTCTTGATTTTGGACAGTCACACCCAGGTGCAGGAACTAGTGCTTCAAATTTCTCCCACAAATCTTTCAGTTTTGAAAAATAGCAGAAACAGATGTTGTTCCTTGACTAAGCGTAGCAATTTTTTTACGTAAATTGTACGATCTTGAACCATCCACTTTATCAAATCTTTCATGCAAATCGTCCCACACAACCTTTGCACTTGATGCATACATTATACCACCAAGTAGCCCAACACTGACAGAATTCATCAACCAAGAAAGCACAATAGCATTTACTCTTTCCCAATAATTCCACAGATTTTCTGGAAAATTTTCTTTTGTGCATGTACCATCCACCAAACCCAACTTATTCCTTCCAAATAGTGTCATTCTCATAGATCGAAACCACAGTGAATAGTTTTCATTCCCAGTTAGTTGAAAATATATGATTTGAATGCCAGTAACATCTGAAGGGCTTAAAAACAGTGGATGATTGTAATCAATTGCATGCAAACCTCCTTGATTTGAATTTGTAGGCGGAATTACAGGAGGAACAACAGCTGGCTGTTCATTAGTCGCCATAGCTATCAAGTTTTCTTCAAGAATTGAACTAAGCAAGAATTGATATCAGAACTTCTTTTGATTTTGCGGAATTAGATGTTGGATCGAGATTCAAGCTTATTGAATTAGCCTGATCCGCTATGATACCATGAAATAGTTTCTGGATTGAATCCAAAGTGTGGAGTTGAGAAGATGAGAGAAGGGGAAGAAGCAGAGAGAAGAAGAGATGAGCTAAGAGAAAGGGAATTTGATATTAATCATCTGATCTTTTACATAGATAGTGTAGGTATTTATATATCTGGAGTAATTGTAATTAACTAAGCTAATTACAACTAACTAGAGAGAGTCGTTATTAGTGAGCTAACTAACTCTAGGATTGGTGGTTAGTAACTAACAATCTAACCTATATGAAATTACTAAATTGTCCTTCTTTACTTATGTTATATCTTTCTCTACAACAACTATTTTTTAAGAAAGGCAAAAGTGCTTTAACAAATTCCACCAACGTGCAGATAAGAAGTCCAAGTCTTGTCTACATGTCTCAAGACTTAAAAGTTCATGAGCAATTTTCCATTAGGGGAAAAAATAGCACGTGCAAAAGGTCAAGTATCTGTTAACCATCGACCACTTGCTAAAATTCTCAACTTGATATGTGCACTATATTAGATATAAGATGAAGAGATCAAGAAAAACAAGATAGAAAAGCTACATATACTAGGCCAGGTTGCTATAAAGTCAAGTTGCTACATATAGTACTGCTGCAGATAATGCATATAACTAAAGAAATTCAATATACCTTTTACGCCTTCCATCAGCGCCGATATCTTTGTGTCTATATCTTAGGCGTTCTTTTTTAGCATTTGATTATCAGTAGTTATCTGATCATACAACAACAATAACAACCCAGTAAAATTTCATTAGTGGGATCTGGGGAGGGTAGTGTGTACGCAGACCTTACCCCTACCCCGAAAGAATAGAGAGGCTGTTTCCGAAAGACCCTCGGCTCAAGAAAATAAAAGGACAAAAATGAGACAATATTAATATCACCACAGAAATCGTAAGATAAATAGGAACAATATGAAATCTAGAAGAAAAGTGAAAAGTAAAAAGATCATGAAAGTATTCATAACCGTTTATCGTGGCTAAAAGTAAACATAAAACCCATAGCTGTCGTAATTTATTTTATTTTAATCATTTAGTAAGTAGATTAGCTAGGATTAATGTACATTATCCTTTAAAATAATGGACCCCACCTTAAGTAATTAAAGGAAATATATACTAAAAAAAATTGAAGGCAATATAACATGCCTCCCAAAATCTGAACCCCACCCCTTTCCCCATTTGAAATAGAAATAGAAAAAGAAAGGACAAAAGGAAAACTAAGAATGCACCCCACGTGGAAGCTCAATTGCTTTTCCTACGTCAGAGAATCGTGGCTCTGGTACTAGTTGTCTTGCTTTCATATGTACTGAAAAAAAATAGCAAAATTTCGGCCAATTTTCTACCCAATGAAGTGAAGGTAAAAACTAGAGCCTTTACCATTTATCATATTTCCTATCAAATATTTGCGACATTAATTAATTGGAAATTGTACGATTTGGTGTCAGCTAGGCTCGCGTAGTTATACAACATTTGATCTCTATGAAATCTGATTGGAAGTTATAGAATAACTCGATCACAGCCGAAAAGGAGGAAACTAATGCTAATATGAGTGATAGTTATTCAGATTTCATGCATCTTTTAATCCAGAAACTAGACTTTAAAATTGCAACATTATGTTATCCTTTAACAAAGGCAAATTTGCTTTGACAGATTCCACCAATTTGCAGATAAAAGGTCCGATTCTTGTCTGCACGCCGAAAGACTACAAGGTTTTGAGCAACTAGACATTAAGCAGTCACAACTCTAAAAAGGTTAATCCATATAGGATGGACTAATATATAGCTGAAACTCTAATTGAGACTCGCACCCTTCCTTTTAACGTGGTCGGCAGGATTCGAACCTGCGCGGGCAGAGCCCACATGATTTCTAGTCATGCCCGATAACCACTCCGGCACGACCACTTGATGAACCTAAATGCATCTTTTTTTTTTGCCTCTTATCCTATTAACTTACCAATTTGATCACCTCTCTACTATACAAGATTTAAGATTTAAAGAGATAAATAATAAACAAGACAAAAAAGCTACATATGCTAGGCCAGTGTGTTATAAAGTCAAGCTGCTAAATATATTGCTGCAGATAAAGCATGCCTAAAGTCATTCATCATACCTGATACCACAGCACACACTTAGTCCCAAAAAGAAAAAAAATCCTTATATTTTCAGTCATAATTTTATGGAGATATTCGAACATGTTAATATACAGAGAGCAAATAGAATATGCGATGAGAAAGATAATGGCTCAAGTATTGAAAAATAAATTTGTTGAAGCATTAAACTGTAAGCAGAGAGATTTTCTATCTACGCGTGGATTATTTCAGCTCTAAATACTAAAGATTGCCAACAACATCTACATCGAACGAAGTAGCTAGAGTTTAATTACAGTATAACGAATTACTATATTCAAATTTGTTTGGTCATGAGAAAAAAATATGACACGTGACTTTTTCTTTAAGTTCTTTTTTTAATTTTCATTGTTTTACCTTTCTAGTAGAGACATAATAGTTTGCGAATTCAGAAACTCACTTATCAAAATTGTCCAAATTTTGTAAATTTTTCGTCCTAAACAAGTTTTTCTTACAACTTATATGCAATCTATTATTAGTGCCTTAAATTAGAAGATTCTTTGCTTGGAAAAGGGCGTAACTAAAGGGAACAAAATCCAAATTGTCCTTCTATCAAAATTAGACTCCTTACAGTTGTGTGTTACCTACTTTAAGCCATAATTAGCGCAAATCTTCTCTCTCATTGCCATAATAACCTATTTTAAGAAAAGAATAATGTATGGTACGACAGGATACAACTTAAAAACAAAATTCTATACATATTTAATACAATATTTGATATATCTACAACAACATACATAATAAAAACAAATTTAATTTCATACAGCTAATTATATAGCGTACAACTTATATGCAACTTTCATACGTCAATTCTACCCAGTTAAATATAATTACAACATCATACAATTTAAATATAATTTTCACATAATTTTATACAATATATCTTTTGTATATATTTTGTATGTGGTGTATTTTGCTATTTCTTCTTCGAATTTCAATATGAAAATCCTGTCAAAATCAAATCTAATCCTCACCAAATACTCTCAAAATCGAGATATAAACTGTATAAAATATTTCTAATCATTTGCAATAACACCAAATCCAAACAAAAAATATTTTTTGAAAAATACAAATTCAAAATCAAGGCTTCAAAGCTTTTTAATAGTTGTTGTGAGCACGCGATTTTTGCCACGCTTAAATTACTCCTATAGAATTCATTTGAATTAGAATTTTTCTTTTAGTATTTGAATTTTTAGGAATTAATTGCATGATTTTGTGTTTTGCATTTTGTGTGCATTTTTAGGTGTCATAAAAAATGAGAATTACAAAAATAGCATACTTGCATTTAGGACCTAATTCTAGATCTTTACATTAATTAAACATCATTGGAAATAAAAGAAAAATAACAAAATAGTCTATTTACAACCTTAAACTTTGCATTTTTACATTTTCGATTTAGTTTTCTCTTAAATTAGGAATTAGTTAATTAGTGGATTTAATTTGGGTCTTTTTATAATAAAATCAGAAAATTCAAAAAAAAGTAATAAATATAAGTAAAATACAAAAAATAAATACAAAAGGAAAAAGAAAGGAACAAAAAGATTTTAAAGAGAGCATGGTCTTAATAAAAGACCAAATTTTGGGCCAAAATCCGAGGCTAGCCCAAATAAACCTTCAAATCCGGACCAAACAAAGCCCAAATGCCCATTAACCCGGTCCAGATCCGCTCCCCCCCTAAACGACGCCGTTTTGGGCGTCCATCAATCCAGGCCATCCGTTCTCCCAATCCAACGGTCAAGGTTTGTCCCAGCATTTTAAATATAAATATAATAACAATTTACAAAAATCAACGACATAACCCATCTTCCTCGTATAACCTTGTAACACCACCGTCTCCGCCGCCTTCCGCCCTAACGCCGCCGCCGGAAATCGCCTCACGGCGGCGGCCAACGTCCAAATCGTCCAAAATTTTCACCATGTCATCTCCTTCATCTTCCCGTCCCATATCCGTCATTGTTTTCCTCCGAATCCCAACTAAACGCCCCAAATCTTCCAAACCCTAGGCGCCGCCACCACCGCACACGGCGACGCCACCTCCCAAACCTCATGAAATTCACACCCTAGACTCTCCTCACCTCCCTCTTCCCGAACCCCTAACTGGTTTCCTTCAAATGTTCCCTGAAGTTCTCGAATCTTAAATCAAAAGAGCGGCAGAACCCTAGAATGTCGAAGCACTCGAATTCTTCCCAATTTCTTGAGTCAAGTGTTGGATTTGAGTCACGAAATCATATTTTCGTTTGTTCTTGGTGAAGAACAAACGTTTAACATTATTCCGAGGCTCGAATCGGAGTCCAGACTTGTTTAACCATGCGTAGGTGAGTCTTCCCGTTTTTCTTTATTATTCGAAATTCCTTGTTTAAACTTTGTTTTCTGTTAATTCATTCAACATATAGTGTTTGGTTCTGTTAACATAGGCTTTAAATCTTTTAATTTTTATTTCTTATTATTTAGTTTAGCTAAATAACTCAATTAGTGCATTTGCTTGCTCATTGATTCTTGTTCTTAGATTTTAGCTTTTTTCTCTTTATATTGACTCTAGGAATTTCTCTGTTCTCTGCTTTTCTGTTCATTTTTTTTTCTTTTGCTCAGTATGTTTCTATTTTTTGTGTTTGAGTTAGGTTTTTTTAGGGTTATGATTATAGTTTTAATTTTGTTCGTGATTGATTCCATGTTTGCTGATTTTTCTATTTTTATAGTATAGCTTCATGTTTGAATTGTTGATTTGTTCGTTTAT